AACCCACGTCAGTGAGCTGGCGAATGCGTTAGAAAAAGCGATCCGAGCAATCGGCAAGATTGATCGGAAGGTAGGAAAAGCCTCGCCGTGGTGGACGGACGAGTGCAGAGAAGCCCACCGAGCACACATAGAAGCACGGAGGGGATCAGACCCGGAAAGGAAGACTAATGCTACTCATCTCTTACAAAAGGTAGTGCGACAAGCCAAGAGATCCTACTGGGCAATGCGTCTCGACGGAGTCAAAGACGACAAAGAACTCTATCGGGTTATGGGATGGCACAAATTAACCCCCGAAAGTAATGCGAAATCCCCCTCCCTAATAATCGGCGAGCGGGTGATCTGCGATACAAAAGAGAAGGCAGATGCTTTATTCACAGCGGTTCTGGATCGTTTCAGGGCAGACGACGACCTACCAAACGATCCGCTGCTCAATCAAGCACACAAAGGGATACTCCCCTGGAAAAGAACGATCTCTGCAGAAGAAGTGGAAAAACATGTCATAGGAGCTACTTGCACTGCGCCTGGAGTGGATCGAGCCACTGTGCGCATCCTCAAGGCATGCTGGCCGAGCGTCAAATCACTGATCCGGGAGATATTTGCATCTTGCCTAGCTCTAAACTACTATCCAGAAGGTTGGAAGCTAGCGGAAGTAGTAATGATCCCTAAGGTGGGCAAGAAAGACAAAACGTCACCGCGGTCGTGGCGACCGATAGCCCTGATCTCCTGTATCGGTAAGGGGCTCGAACGGTATATAGCTAGTCAAATATCCTGGACAGCCCTGAGACACAAGGTAATCAGCCCGCAGCACTGCGGAGCGCTCCCCAGAAGATCAGGTACTGATCTAACGGCGGCTTTCACTCACGATGCGGAGCTTTCATTAGCAACGGGTAATGTGGCCTCGATTGTTACAATGGATGTTCAAGGAGCTTTTGACGCTCTCCTAAAGCGCCGACTCCTGAGCCGAATGATCAAGCAAGGATGGCCAACTCCGCTGCTCAAACTAATAGACTCGTTCCTTACAAATAGGAAAGTCAGAGTAAGACTCGAAGGCATCACAACAGAGGAATACCCAGTAGCATGTGGTACTCCTCAGGGGTCCCCCCTATCACCTATACTCTATATGCTATATCTCGCTGAGCTCCTCAACCGAGATACCAAATATCGCTTTGGCTACGCTGACGATATTGCGATCTATCACTCCTCCAAGCATCTCTCCACGAATGCCAGGATCCTTCAACGACGCGTTCGACAGATCATCCGATGGGGTAAGGAGAACAAAATCCTATTCGCCTCAGAGAAATTCGAGCTACTCCATATAACCAGACGACACGATACCACCAACCCACCACTAGTCGTTAACCCGGATCTGATAATCACTCCAGTACCGATTGTAACGAGTGGAAGCACTCAACCCACTCTAAGATGGCTTGGTGTCTTCTTCGATCGTCGGCTCTCGTTTCTACAACATGTCAAAACACGCACAGCGAAAGCCATGAAAGTAGCCTCGCACATCAGGTCGATCGCCCGCACTCTGCATGGGCCACCAGCTTCCTACTTGAGAAAAGCAGTGATCACCTGCGTCCTTCCAGTAGCACTATTCGGCACTGAAGTATGGTACGCTGGCAAACTCAAACCGAGCCTCGGTCAAAGCGAAGCAAGCACAGGCACAGGTATCAAAGGCCATCTCCGCTACATCAACAAAGTGATCAATACCGCCGCAAGAGGAGCGATCCCGGTATACAAAACTACACCGACCGCAGCTCTTATCAAAGAAGCCGGCCTGCCATCGGGGATAGTCGCATTAGAACACGCCAAGCTGCGATTCGCACTCCGCTTAAAAACGGTCGACAATCAGCACCTGCTAGTGAGCCGCCTGAAACCCATAGTACGAAAGCGCGGGCGAGGAGTAGGCATAGCTAGAAGGCCCCTTACAAGAATCCAACGGCTCGGCCTCCTCATCCCAGAGACCCAACGGCCGAAGTTACTTCGCCCGCACTTCTCGATAGGCTGCAGAACGGATCCGACGGAAGGGCTAACCAAAGAGGAAGCAGCTCAAGCCTTCAAAGAGTGGTGGCTGCAACTCCCACCTGAGGACTACACGATCTTCTCCGACGGATCAGAACAAACCATTGATCGTAAACACTGTGTCGGATACGGATATGTAATATATCACAATGGCACTCAATTAGCCTCCGGATCCAAGCAGATCCGGAGCGACTCACATGTGTTCGATGCAGAAGCGATCGGAGCGTGGCGAGGGCTGGAGCACCTGATCAGCACGTTTAAAGATCCCCCGAGTGGCCGGATCTGGATGTGTATTGACAGTACATCGGTCATCTGGGGTGTTCGCGGAAACGCGCCGCCCACAACGCAATGGGCCTTCCATAAGTGCCATAAGGCAATGAAACAACTTGGCATTAGAGTGAAGTGGTCACCTGGTCACATGGAGATCGAAGGGAATGAGGAAGCAGACCGCCTAGCAAACGCAGGCGCAATTGGACCCATGGACCAGGCGATCGACAAGCTACCAACAATTAGCGGTGTCCGGACGATCGTTCGCCAAAAGCGCCTACGCGCAGAGACTGAGTGGTGGGAAGAGATGAATCCCTCTCTCTCTGCTAATTATAAAGAATGGTCTCCCAAGTACAACACAAAGGAGCCGAAGGAACTAACTCTGCCAAGAGCAGTCCTTCACCGACTACTAGCTATGAAAACAGGTCATGGCGACTACGCCGCTTACCATCAGCGATTTGGTCATCAAAACAACAAGTTGGACTGCTCATGCGGCAGCGCTAAGGAACCATATCACTTCTTTAAATGCACTATAAACAACCTAAAACGTTCAGACTGGCCCCTGGCCCCTGTAGAAATACAATCTAACAAACAGGCGATCACATATATCAAGAAACTCTTACACACACCTAGCAAGCTCACTCAGCTGATTACCGACTCAGAGTTCTACACTCAGATCTGTCCTAACTACTAAAGGACCCTTAGAAAGCGACCATCTTTTCAACAAAGCCCGCCGCCCCTTTTATAAACTTACCACTCAACTGATCACTCGAATATACCACACCCCTAAAAACCGCAAACCCAATATACAATATAAGAGCCTTGCCGCTCGGCTAAACAAATAGCAACCCACTCCCACTTCTTCTCCTTCACCATAGGGATCGGAGCCCACAACGAGCCTATCCACCCGGGAACCAAGCTCTACCCTAACAAGAACCCGGATCAGACGTACCCTTCTGGAAACAGAAGTGGATCGCACCTGCAGAGGAGCGAACAGCCCCTGGCATTGAAGTTAAATTGCTAAATTCGGTTGCGACGATCACGCCGCTCAAATAGTCCCTTATCTTAGCACGTCTAAATACCCTTAGGGAGGTTCAAGACAGACGTTAATTAATATAAATAAATAAATAAATAAATAAAAAATATTAGGTCCTTAAGATTACACTTGATACATATTTCATATAAATAATGAGAACATCTCATTTTGTAACTAGATATATGGATTATCGAATAAACAATTGTTGAATATTGATATAAATTCATTTATATATTATATTAATTTTTATACAATTCAATCTCATTATTCAATCAAAAAATAATAAAGAATAATAAAAAGAATAAGAAGATATAATAAATCAATTAATATATACTTTAGAGATATTTTGAGATTATTTCCTATAATATTTGCATTAGAATAAAAATACATTATCTTAGCTCAAGATATATTAATAATGAATTTAGAGTTAATAACTTAAGAAATGCTCTTTTTGTCTTTATATTTTAAGCCTATTTTCTTTATCGAATTAATATTTTTGAAATATTTAGAATTACTTCTAATATGTAGCCCCTTCTCTTTTATTACTTTCTTTTTCTTTTATTGATTTATACATTTGATAGCCTTTTGACCTAATTATATACTATTTTGAGATATATTTATTAAGTGTTTTAATAATGAGATAATCCCTTGTTAATTATCTTCGTTTTTTATATGGTTTTTAAGGGAAATAGGAAGAGATTCTAATGTAGAGGAGCTAAAAGAGATTAATATTATCTCGCTCTCAACTTTAGGGTTGTTAGCATTACAATAAATATAGAAATAAATAAATTTAGAATGTTTTTTCTTTGTAATAGAACAATAAAGTATTCATTTAGAATCCTTATCTACCCATCAACTTATTGTGAATATATAAAAAATAAATAAGATATTTAATTATATAAATAGAAATAGAATTGAGGACTTGAAACATATAAATAAATTAGATCTCTAATATCTAAATAGCCCAACCTTAATCGACTACTTTATTATCATCGATCTTCATTTTAGATTTAACTTTGATAAAGTAATCTACATCCTTATTTGAAACAATCTCTTCTTTATATTATCTCTTAACTTATATAAATGTATAATTATTATTAATTATATCACTTATAGCTTTTTCTCTCTTAACAATTTCATTATATTCATTTATAGGTACTAAAGATTTGTATAAAATTGATTCTTAATTAGAATTAATATATCTTTAAGGATGTTTATATAGAGAGTAATATATTAATATATATATAAGCTTTTTCTACTTTTTTTTATTACTTGATTTTATAGTTTTTAAATTATATTTAATACTTTCAATAAAATCTTTATAGAATTTAATAGTAGCTAGAAAAAGATATTCATTAATATTTATAAAATTAATAAGTATACAATTAATAATATAATAGGAAATATACCTTAAATTTTGTAATCTTTTAAAAGCTGCTTGTAAAGCTTAGGTGGTATTACTTTTCCTTTATCTGTATATTCCCTTTTAAAATATTGATATAATATAAAAGATTTATTAATATAATAATAAGATTGTATTTTATTCTTTCGAATTATATAATAATTTTAAAGATCTATATATCCATCTACTTCTTCTTTTATTCATTTAATATAAATAATAAGAATAGTAATCTGGTCCTTATAATTTATCTTTATAAAATTGTTTATTTTTTCATTGATTCTTTAAAATAATTCTAAATAATATTAACAATTGATTATATAATAAATGAAAAAATGAAAAAATGAAAAAAACAATTAAATATAATGGATCGAGAAAAATTTTCAATTATTTTTATAAAATAAGATAAGGGATAGGGAAATATACTTTTTATTAGTATAATAATAATCCTTGAAGCTTTTACCATTAACTTTTGATATATTGATTTCTAATATTCTTTCTAAACCAAAAACAATTCTTAATCTATTTTATATTCTTATCAACTTTACAAAAGAACGTAAAATAAGCTTCGGCTATAAGGGGAAGCTTTATCCTCCTATTTGCTTTAAAAAACCTCAACATTATATTACTTTTAGAGTATTATACTAAATATTGATGTATAATTGATCCTAAATGCTTATTGGATATTCTTATATATACTTATATAATAAATCGGGAATGTACATCAATATATATATAGATTTCAATCCCAATAAAAGCTAATTTATTATACCCATTAATTAACTAAATATAGTTCGGTTTAGGGACTCGATACTCCTTATAAATAGATTGAAATTGTTTCATATATTTATAAATGCCTTTAGGATTTATAACTTGAAGTATATCAAATAGTATATTCCTAAAACAAATATAGAATATTAGTATAGATATATCTTATAATTTTGAATGAAAAAATAAATATTATACTACAAAACAAACTCCCCTTTTCTTCGAAAATAGGTGTACAATAGCCTTCTACTATATTCTCGAATATAACCCAATTTGATATTGTTTTTTAGAATATTAAATAAATATTAATCTTATTTATATTGTTTTTTGAATGAAAGCTTTTTGTAGAGTCTAAATGATAAACATATGTTTTTAATATATCTTACGGATATGTTATAGCTATCAGCTTTGAAAGCTTTTTCTATCTCTTAATTATTAAGTAATAAAAAGAAATATATAGCAATTTTACTCTTTAATATAGGATTGTTGTAGTCGATCCTAGGCTTTCGACTAAACCCTCAAGTGCTGAGGTATCTATCAATAATTCTAATTCCAACCTCAATATTGAATTTAAAGAAAAGTAATTGTTTAATATTATAAATATTATATCCATCATTATACTATTTGTAAATTAACTCTTTATATTAAGTTAATGGAGCTTGAGGTCGAATCATTATAATTATATAAATAAGATTGTATAAAATGAATAAGAAAAAATTGAAGAAAATTGAATATTTATGAAGAAATGGTATACTAGCTTCTATAAAGTCTAAAAAGAAAAAGGGAGTATTGAATTATAAAAATAATACAATAATAAATGATATTGATTCTTATTTATACATTCCTAAATACTAAATACATTTTTGCTTCAGACAGAAATCTATTTTTGGGGTTTTGGCCATATCGACCAAATCGGCCTCGGTACAGAAGAGGAACTCCAGACAAATCATTCCTAATACCTAATCAAAAACTTTAGAACAAAGATTAATTCTGTAAATCATATGATGAATTGTGATTATAATAGCTAGGTATCATTTATGTACAAAGAAACAAAGCGATGATAGTATCCTAAAATAGATACAATTCGGCAAACTCCTGGTGTTTTATAATTCAAAACTCCACCTAAGTTCAGTACCCCACTTTTCGGCCACCCCACTTTTCGGCCACCTTATAAATCTCACCGCTTTAATCAACCACCTCTCTTCAATCTTTAATGATTCAACAACCATTGAATCAATTGATTCAAAAATTTGATATATTATTAATTATATCATGGGTAGTAGTTATACCAAAGATGATATTGCTATGGCACTTAGTGCTATAGCAGGAAGTATAACTATCAGAAAAGCTGGTTTGAATTATGGGATACCCTGCACTACTCTTCAATGCTATATAAAAGATCACCTTTCCTATCAAAAAGGTATTCAAAATATATAAAAGATAGTTTCGATATAGAAGAAAGTATTAGTCGAATGGATATTAGTTCAAAAGGCTTTGGGCATTAGTTCTATACATTGGTAGATACGAGAAATTGGCGAAACCCTCCTCAAAGTGAAAGGGAATGAGCCTATACTTGGAAAACAATGGATACACAACTTCCTACTTAGAAACCCTGAAATTCGAACCAAAAGACAAATCAGAATCGATAATCAATATATTTCAGATGCTACTACCGAAATTATTAGTAAGTTTTTCGAAAAGTTGAATTTGCCAGCTATTATCCACATTAAGCCGGAAAACAAATGGAATATGGATGAATGGAATATGGATGAAGCTGGTATTATGGAAGGCCAGGGCTTGAATGGTATAATACTTGAGAGTGCTGAGAGATGCTTTATTCAAAAGAAGCAGTTTGGCACAAGAAGTTGAACCTCTTTTATTAAGTATATCTCTGCTATAGGAAAAGTATTATTACTCCTTGTTATATATAAGAGTAAAAGTATTCAACAATAATGGTTCTCTATTAAGTTTGATATATATAAGGATTAGAAGTTTTATGCTATAGAAAATAAATGGATTATTAATGAAACAGGTCTAGTATGGCTAAAAGAGGTCTTTATTCCTCAAACCGCTCCTTCTGACCCAAAAGAGGCTAGATTGCTTGTTTTGGACGGGCATAGAAGCCACGAAACCACTCAATTTATACTTGAATGCTTTAAAAACAATATACATCTCTTATTCCTTTCTCTATATACATCATATATACTACAACCTTTTGATTTATTGATATTATTTTTTCTAAAACGTAAATATTAATATAAGCTCAATAAATTAGGTTTACTATCTGATTCTACACCTATAAACAAAAGGAATTTTCTTGTATACTATCAGAAAGTAAGATTAAAAAGTTTAACTCTGAATAATATCACTTCAGGATGGAGAGCTTCAGGTTTATGGCCTTAAAACCGCATTAAGCCTCTTTTGTTCAGATTATTGCTTGAAAATAGTAATAAAGAAGTTCAGAGCCTGAATTCGATTTCAGATAATGATTTCATGCTTCAATGGAATATAGATTCATCTTTGATTCGATAGGAAACTGTTACGACCGAGGTCGTCACATGACTAGATTGATTAAAATATCACCTGACCAAGGTGTCCCACTGAGTCCCACTGAGTAAGGCCCAGTGGGACACAGTGGGAAGCAGTGGGACAACAGAGAACGAAGGTCTATATAAGGGAATGGGATTTCATTACAATATAGAGCTTCGTGCTCAAGATCAATCATTAGTTTCATACTATAGTTACGAGAATTGCAACCAGTTACAACCTTATTGAATTCCTACTTGAAGTCTAGTCTAAACCACCTCGAGAGATCTCTAGACACTTCCACGTGACCCTAGAGGCAGCTCCCGTAACAGAAACGCTACAAAAAGCAAATGATCTACGAAAATATATATTAATATTAGAATCTGAAAAAGAAACAGACTTATACGCTTGTCGATTACTCTTTCGAAAGATCCAAAAAGCATTTGATACTAAGGACTATGAAATTATAAAGTCTAAGTGTTGAATAAAGGAATTAAAACACAAATTAGAATGTGTTATACCTAAAAAAAAAGAGGAAGGTTAATATTAGCCCAAATTCGAAGTTTTCTGAAATTAAGGCTATATACCAGGCTCAAATCGAAGTTGATGATCGTGAAATTGATAAAGTGGATTTCGATAGTATATATGAAATTGATGCTACAGAAGATTGTATTGTAGTTGGATAGTTGTTGAATTATTGAAGTTTAAAAATTGTATATATATATTTTATGAGGTGGCCGAAAAGAGGGGTGGCCGAAAAGTGGGGTACTGAACTTATACTACGCAACGAACGGAATGAACACAATAAAGAGCAGAATAAAATGTCATGCTAGATGCATCATCTGATACTAAAGGACCATCAGACTGTCGGTTTCGATCGCAATATTGAAACTTATGATCAGACAGTCCCCAAAGTCCTAGGTAGGTCATTCGAGTTTGGTGTGCCGTTTATTTCGATCATTGTGCTCCCCAATAGTTATCATCCCAAACTAAACGCAGCCATCTAGACCGTCTCAAGATATAATAGCAATCTTGTTCCTCCTTCTAAATTCCCAGCTATTGGTTTATATAGCTATCAATGTCTATTCTATGAAAGAAAGAGATATGTCCGAAGGGTACCCAGTGCTGTGCCAACACATCTGGGGATATCATTATCAGTTCCGTTTCGATATATTTTGCTATAAACAATTAGTAGGGATCCCTGTACAATCGTTGGAGAAAGGAAACTAATACGATTTTTATATCCTAGATTGGCAATCTGACCGCGACTCCTCACAATTCTTGCACCAGGCCAATCCTTCTCCCCATAACGAACCAATCCCTTGTCACTAATATCATCAGCGACCCATGTAACTTCCCCTCGAGGTATGTTTGGATCTCCAGTCAATTTAATAGCGCAAAGAGAACCTGTGGGAGTACGTGCTTGTCCTTTTCTTGCTTCCCACGCTTCGTGCGATTCGCCTTTTGACTTTGATGTGTTTGATTCGTCCCGTTTTTGAAGTCCATCTCGTTGATCTAATAGTAGATATTCGCAACCATGACCTGAGTAGTCCCCGACCTAGAATTGTGATTTGAATCAGCAGGTGAATTTGAGATACTGATTTGGTAATGATCTGTTGAACCCGGTTTTTATAATAATAGGTTAATGTGGCACGCTCCCAGTTTTGCAAACTTATGAATATTTGAGAGTGATTTGATTTTTTTGAAATGGGGTTTGTTCTCATTGGATTCAGTGTACTAGACGAGTCGAACATGTGAAAAAAGATTCAGAAATCATTTAGATCTCCTTCGTCAGGCATCTGAAATTCTGGAAATCGTGATCGTTTCTTTGTTGATTATACATGGTGTAAGTCATATCGTGTAGATATCAAGAGCCTGGAAAAGGTCTTGAATGTACAGAAGGGATATGCGATTGAGAGGCTTTGATAAAACAGGCAAAGTTTCCGATGAACTTCTCGGTGAAAGCCCAGATCCAAGTAAAGTGAGGAAGAGAGTATAAAATGAGAGAAAACTTACAAAGATACCTCTATAAGGCTTATCTTCTGTCGGTGTATACAATTCAAAATCGAGAGTCGAAAAGGTTTGAATTTGATCTCCTATTTGCACCAGACCATTCATCTCCATCCAGTCTCTTATTCGAAATGATTTCTCATTGATCTGAGAGCGATTCTCGGGTCGACCCCATGTAGCTGTACATGAGTTATCGAAAATGGTAGGACGATCTGCTCGAACTTTTGCTGGAATCTTTGGCGGTGGCCACTTATTCGCTTGCGGCCTGTTGGGCTGATTACCTACTAACATTTTTGATAGCAAGAACCTCGAAGGAC